TACCCGAACCGTGCGCCAGCTCGTCAGTTAGATCATCATCGGATGTCGATTGAACTGACAATGTATCGCCCTTTATGTCATGCTGCTTAGATTTCGTGTCCAAAGCCAATTCGACTTGAGATTCGCGCATCTCCACGGTTGGCAATGACATATTTATACTTATCTTAGTATGCTTCCTGTAAAAATTACTTTTGTGTTGTTGGTTCTGAGCTTCTGGTGCCGTTACTCTCTAACTTTTATAGTATTTAAATAAAAACTTTGCAGAATCAAAAACAATTCTATAATGTAAATACAAAATATACTAAATAAAAATACACGCGATGTATTTTTACAGAGTACAGACTACACAATAAAAAAAAATATCCATGCGACTGGCGAGTTGCCACTGACAGACAACAGCCGAACACAGTCCGTCTGAGACTCTATTTACCTAAATATGTAGTACACCTATGTAGTACCGAATCTCTGACTCTCCGACATCGAGCTAACCACCACATGGGACTTGGGACCAACGGCCAACCGTCTATTTAACCCCGTAGTGCTGATCAATGACTTTAGAGGGTTGAATATTTATGGACAAAGTCGTTATGGACCATAACTTCCGTCGGCTTTACTATTTTTTACGAATATTTATTTTTTAGAAATTTTAAAAAGCCTACTAACTTTTGTTCAAATATTTGTTTTTTTTAAAAAACAATACATTGTTTTTGATTGAAATTTGAAGGCTATGATTTTGTGTTTCTAAAAACCCTTTTGTGTACAACTTTAAAATTTAGTAGGCTATGTATGCCAGAGTATGCCTTTTGAGGGCTTTTTTTTTACAAATGATTTCTAGAAAAATTCAACAAAGAAAACATAAGCCTAAAGTTATAAAAAAATCAACATTGATTCTAGACACTGACTCTTGTAATTTTCTTATACTCTGAAAATAGACCAAACTATTAAATAATAGGAATTGGGTTTATAAAATATTATAAAAATAAACTAATTTTCATAGTAAAATTGAAAAATTAGTAAATAGTTCTATCTCATCGGATGATCGGGCCCATCATGGCCATCACTCACTATCTCTTTTTTAATTGTATGCAATTTGGCTCTTGTCCCTGGGTATTTAATACTCAAAATCCGAATTTTTGTTATTGTTTTGGGTTCTTTATTGTTTGTTTTGGTTTCTTTTCTTTTTGTTTTACAAAAATTAATTTAACAATCAGTGTCAAGCATATTTGTTATTTTATTTCTAGAAAAAAACCGTAAGAACAATATATAACAGCAGTAATATTTTTTAAAAACAAGCAAATGTTGATGTAAATATCTATATACTTCTAAAAAAACAAAATATACACATAAAACAATCTACATACGACAATACATACAGCTTCATTAATTTTTAGGCGGCTATGGTTGAGCAAGACAGCCGAGAGCCCGAGACTGGCGAGTGTGCGAGACTCGAGACTCGAGACTGATTATGCCTCAAGGATTGCTTTTAAAAAAGCCTAAATACCATATGACTAAAAATTATTACTAACAACCTTTTATTAGAAATATCAATAGCTCAACTGGGAAGCCTGATAGCACCATATACTCTCACAGGACTCAGAGTTTCGGAGAGAGTGCCCTCTTTCTACTCAGTGACTCTAGAGTACAGACTAGAGAGACGCCAAAGTCCACTCAGACTCTCAGAGTCCAAGACTCCTGAGTTCAGGCGTGTTTGAATATAGTAAATACCCCGGTCACACTGGGATGGGGACCTACCGCATTATACAGTGTACCTGGTCCTGATGGTTGTGAGTTGTCTCAAGTTGCCAGTTGCCAACTTGCCACTTGGCACGGTCTGTCTCTGTCGCTCTGTAGACTGTCAGTGGGTCGCGTGACTGGCGACGGCCCTCGACTCCTCGAGGGCCGAAACTCCTCGTAAAGTTAAAAAGGTTTATTTTGTATTTTGTATTGTTTTTTTTTGGTTTGTTTTGTATTTATTTGTTATATATAAAAAAATCGAAATAGCAAACAAACAAACAAACAAACCATGACCCTTTCTGGATTAGGGTCGCGAGCAGAAATCCGGTTTCGTCGTAACGGAAATCGTAAGTTTTGGCAGTGATCCAAATCCAGAGGGCCATGAACAAACGAGATCAAAATTGAAAATACACAAACAAATTCGGTAATTTTTTTGTTTCTTTTAGGGCTAAAATCCAAAAATATGTATGTATTTAATAATTTATGTTATTTTCTCTTTGTTGAATGTTTTCTTTGTTTTTTAATCCTATTTTAAAAAAAACCAATAAAAAAAAATCTGAACACATACATACACTACGGTCATGCACAATGTATTATGTTTCCAGAAATTGTCAAAATCAGTAGTGGAGCTGGAAGACCTGAAGTGATATACCTTCGAGTAAATAAAGCTCAGAGCTGAGTTTTAAGGTTATATCGAAACTTGTACTAATTTTATTGGTTGCGTTAAATTGAATGATGAGCATAGATTTCCTGCCACCTTTAATCCCAACATGTGCAGAGTAGATTCTGGAGTGCGTAGAGTAAAGGTATAGACTTTTATTTTAAATCACGGAGTGCGCAGAGTAAAGTGTGATGTTGTCAGAGTCAGTCAGACTCTGGCGGACTCACTATGTAATACTATAATCACTCTCTCTGCTGGGGGATGAGAAAAGCAAATAGTTCTTTTCTGAATGAGTGATTGTTCGTGTGGTCGTGGGCTTGTGGCGCGGTCGGGTCGGTCGTGCCGGGCACAGACCTCACGCCCACGGCTATTAACAGCTTGTTGACACTTGACAGAAAGTATTTGCTCTTTTGTTTTTTGAAACCAAATTAAAAATTATAGAATGAAGACTGGTCACAGGACTCACAGGCCACAGCCCACACCCAGTGCCCACTGTACATTACAGCACTGCTCAGCAGTGCTCAGTGCTGACGCCTGACGCCTGATGGACCCTATGCGAGTCTGAAGAGTGCACTAGAGTGCACAACAGCACATAAGTACGTTGTTGACTCGTCGTGTTTTGGATTGTACCAGATAGTCGTGTACTTATTTGGACAACGACGTAGTTAGACTGATACATACGTATTCACTATTTATAGAACACTGCATACAACGTAGAGATAAATAAATATGAGCATGGGGCCAGGTCGCCAGGCTGGCAAACTCTCCCTCACTCGCTGTGCCTAGTATTTGGACTCACTCGAGTCTGTTTTCACTCGCGATTCGCGGAAGCTATGAAACCACTGAATAATGTTTGGATTTAGCAATGAGATATCTAGATGCGGGTTTATCAAGCAGCCAATCTGCTATGTTCTTTCTGACGGACAATGTACACCTCTTTTAGATCAGTTGGAATATTTCAGCCTCGACACGCCAACCTATCTATTTTATACACAGATCTCAATTCCACTACAATTTTCAGCTGGCCTTCCCTAGCAATTTTCAGCTGGCCTTCCCTAGGTTTTCGTGAGAAATTGTCCATATACCAGACATATGCGATAGGATGCTCAGTACCATTTCAATTATGAGAAGACGTTTCCGGAAAAGGTACATTCGTAATTGATGTTTATATATACCTGACTTTTACCATAGAGCATCCTGAGCATGATACAGACGATAGAAGCTCTGCTCTTATTCAATTATAAAGGCTATTTCAACAAAGACACGTACCGTATTTACTATTGATCAACAGTCTTTGCTAGTGCAATCATGAGGCTAATTTGGAATCAATCATGCCATAATTAATGTTCGTATATATATATATATATATATATATATATATACATATATATATATATATATACACACACATATATATATATGTATATATATATATATATATATATATATATATATACATATATATATATATATATATATATATATATATATATATATATATATATATATATATATATATATATATATATATATATATATATATATATATATATATATATATATATATATATATATATATATATATATATATATATATATATATATATATATATATATATATATATATATATATGTATGTATATAGATAT